CGCCGCCCACTTGCCCTCGCGGCTGTCGTGCCAGGAGTGGCTCACAAAGACAGAATGCTCAGCTCCCAGGCTGGCGGCGACCGCCTGCTCTCGCACCGCGTCGCCCGCGCCGCCCGCCACGCCCCCGCCCGGCAGCTCATCCGCACCTCTAAGCTGGTCAAAGCGCAGCAGGCGGAAGGCCGCCTGCGCGCGCGCCAGCGCCTTCTCGCCGCCGCCGGAGAGAGCCGCCAGCGCCGCCAGCTGCGCGTCGTCGCCTCCGCCGGAGGCGCCGAGGCGGGCGAGGCGGGCTTGCAAGTAGCGGCGGGCGGAGGGGCGGAGAGCGAGGGCGGTGAGGAGGATGGCGGCGCCAGAGAGATTGAGCGGCCACCACGAATCTGTCGCAGCAATGCTCACGAAGACCACTCCAAACACTCCAACCTCCAGCCGGTTAACCAGCCAAATGCGGCTCAAGCAGGCGGGGGCGGTCATCGCCCGGGGGCCGACGCGGGTGGAGCGGCAGGGCAGCAGGCCGGCGAGAAAGGCGTCGCGCCAGGCAGGGAGCGAGGCGGCGGCGGCTAGGGAGGCGGTCATGGCTAGGACGCTTAACGCCGGCGAGAACAACAGGAAGTCAGGCCGCCCCGCAAACAACCACAAGGACCATCCGAACAGCAGCGCCAGAAGCGCCAGGTAGACGGAGAGCCCGCGGAGAAGGTCCTCGTCCGTGGGCAGCACGGCGAGGAGCATCGAGAAGACTCCCCAGAAGAAAGCTATCCCCATCATGCTGAGGATGGTAGCGCTAATCATCGGGCTGCTTTGGAGCAGCCCGACGACGATGCCGGCGAGTGACGCCAAAAGGGCGACCAGCCCCCCGCCAAAGGCGACGAGGCGGATGCGCCTCTTGCGCCTGTCCGCGGCGGCGCGCTGCTCCCGCATCCGCTGCCGAGCGCGCTCCTCGAAGACGACCGACGTGTAAAAGCTGGCGTACATATCCACCACCTGCGGCGGCGGCGGCGGCGGTGAGGCGGGCAAGTCCACCGTGGGCCATTGGGGCACCATCGCACGCGCCACCTTCTCCTCGTCGCCCTTGCCGGTGAAAGCGATGACCTGCTTCTCGCTCCTTCCCTCCGTCTCCTCGAACTGAGCCTTGAACGCGTCGGTCGTGGGCGCGCTCGTGAGGGTCACAGGCTGCTCGTCCAGCACGTCGATCATCTTGGGCGCGTGCTCCGCGCTGCCCAGCCCGAGCTCGCTGTGCGTGCCGAGGATGATCTTCGCGAAGTTGCTCTCGGCGTGGCACCTGTGCGCCGCAAGTGCGGTCAGAAGGAGAGAGCCACAAGTACCTGAAGGAGGCGGTAGTCGCGGCAACGCACCAGCCCCGCCGCTCGTACGGCTGTGTGTTGTACAGCATGCCAATGCCCTTGCACAGCTGCTCCGCGCCCGCCGCCACGGCCGCAACCGCCGCTTCGCGCGTGGCGAAGCGAACGATCGCAGGAGCTGTGTGCAGCTCGCACGTCTCGATCTGCCCAAAGCTGCCAAGCGTCGCGAGGATCGCCTGCTCTTCGATGCCGTTCTTCAAGCCGAAGAGGCAGACGGAGCGCTTGCCCCACTCTGGCGGCTCTGGGATGTTGGTCAGCCGCAGCACTGTCACGCAGCGGGGGCTCGCGTACAGCCCCGCCATCACCGCGAGCGACGCAGCAAAGATCTTGGCCTCCTCGGCAGTGCGCTTGCCGGCAGCATCCTTCTGCGGACGCCGGCGACAAGGCGCGCGTCACTCAACCGCCGCGCCGCCCTCAGCGTTTCGGTGTGTGCGGAGGCATAGCTGGCACGGGGGAGGGGAGGGCGGCGGCGGGGAGGGCGGAGTGCGCGCGCGCGGGGAGGCAGTGGCGGGGGGGGGGGGGTGCAGGGCGGGGCCGCACAGCCCGTAGGTGAGCGCACACGCGCTGCGGTCCTGCCGAGCAAAGAGCGCGGCCGCCTCCTCGGGCGAAAGCAGCGCCTCTGATGGCAGGTCCTGCCGGCGCGGCAGCACATAGCCGCGTGGGCGCGAGCGCAGCCAGCTGCAGCGGAGCAGCATGAGGTCGCGAGAAAGGAGCGAGGCGTGCACCCGCTGGTCGTGCGGACCAAGTCCCGCGTCGCTCTGCACCATCTCTAGGCCCGCACCTGCGGACTGCTCATCCATTCGCCGCATGTCTCGGAAAATGCAGACGAGTGCCCAGATCAGGCTGAGCCCGGAAAAGACAGAGCAGAGAGTGAGAGCCATGCAGTGCAGGACGAGGGCCGCAGCGCGAAGGGACTTGTCCCGCTCGCGCTCCACCGCCGCGAAGGCCGAGTACTCTGGGGAGGGGTCGGCGCCAGACTTGCAGAGGCAGGGGAGCTCCAGATAGCAATGGAGGTCGTTCCACAACCCATCGTTGCCGACAGCAGCGCACTCCTCTGCGCCACGCAAATCGTTTGGCGTTGACAATTTGACGTCCCATTTGACAAAGTTTGCCGTCTCGCCGGACTGGCACACGTCCCAGCCGCCGCCGGGCTCCGCTCCGGCGGGCCGCTGGTAGTTGCCGATCCAGAAGTGGATCGCGCCGGCATCGGCGGCAAGGCGCGCCACATGCTCGTTTTCCTCCGAGCTTTGCACGCACGCGAGAGTAGCGTTCGGCCCACACAGGTCCGCGCAGCCCCAGTGCGTGGACGGCTCGGCGGTGAGGTGGTACGAGCCAAAGGCAAAGACAGCGGCTAGAGCGAACATGCTGCATCCAATTGGCCCGTGTCAGCGAAATTCCCTTCAACTTCGAAAATTCTTTTTCTACACCCCGGTGCGAGAATGCGCATTTCTTCTCTGCACTATAGCCCTTGAGAAAGAGCTCGCATTATGCAAACCTGTGCCTGTGTCCTAAGAAGTAGACTGAGAGGGGTACTCCCATAGGCAAGAGGAGGTCTGGAGAGGCCCACAGCGGTCAGGAGGCAGCTTCGGCTTCGTGTGCACGATCTTGCGCTGCAGCTCCTTCCCCTCCTTGTGGTACCACGGCGCCTACCAAAACGAAACCCCTCGCCGCGTAAACGAAAAACTACGAGCCACCTCTGCCGGCCATACCTGAGGGGTGGCCCGTCTACCGTCTACCGGTAGACCGGGTAGACGGTAGACCATTTGGTAGACGAGTCTACCGCGAGTCTACCGCAGTCTACCGGTAGACCGTGATGAACCTACGACTGCAGTCTACCGGTAGACTTGGTAGACCGCGGTAGACTCGTCTACCCCTTTTTTATATTACCCAAAAGCTAGGCTACACAACGCCCTCTATGTTGGGTCAAGGCGGGCGCCTAGAAGAAAGCGCCGCCCCCCGAGGGGGAATCCCACCCGTACCCCGAGCCCCCGTCGAAGAGCGCGTCGAAAGCGTCGTCGCCTTCGTCGTACTCCTCCGCGTCAAAGCACCGGACCGGCTCCCCCCGGCCGTGCTCCCTTGCCCAGCGCATCTGCCGAACATGCGCACGCTGCTCCTCGCGCGCCCTCTCCTCCGCGGCGCGCGGCGTCCACCCGGTGGACGCCAACAGCGACTCGAGCGTCGCGCGATAAATCGCCTCGCCTTCCTCGCGTGATACCACCTCGCCCGCCTCCTTCGCCACCGCCTTCTTCCCACGCCGCGATAGCTTCTCGCCGCCCTTGCTCGCCAGCGCCGGCGATGCCGTGGCGCGCCCACCGCGGCCGCCGAACGGTAGACCGCCGCCGCCGGACGGTAGACCGCCTCGGCCGTTTGAATATGCAGCCTCCAGTTCTCCACTCTGGCGCCACTTTGGCAGACGAGCGCCGGCAGATGCCCTCGCGGCCTGCCGGCGAACGTCCGTCCGGCGAGAACGCGCGATGAAAGTGCGGTCTGCCGCGCGGGCGAAATCTGCCGGTGAGAGAGGCTGTTGAGCGCGGTCGCTGTGAGCTTCACCTCATGCCATTTCCGTGCGAGGCGAGCTCCGTGTCTTTTATGAGATCAAATGAACGTCTTTACACACTCATCGGGCGGAACCGCTCACTGCAGAGCACCGCCCTCTCGCGGCTCTCGAGAGCGAGTTTTCGCCAGACAGCCACACGTCCATTATGGCGCGCGTTCGGCGGCTGAAAAAGGGGTAGACGAGTCTACCGCGGTCTACCGGTAGAGAGAGAGAGAGAGAGAGAGATTCAGGAAAAGCTACGGGATGAGGATCACAGTGGACGTAATCACATGCTATTCGACTTGGCTAGGGCGGGGATTACTACTGCGGAGGGTGGGGAGGAGGCGAGGTGGACGACAATCAGGAGTCTACTTCTCAAAGGTGTAGGGGCGAGGGCGCGACCCAGTGGTGAAAAGTGTGGCTACTCGGCAATGCTGCAGACAATCGGGGCCTCGAGAGTCAACTGGAAACTGGACAAGTGCAAGTGCGGGCAGGTTCACGACGTCAGACACTTCATCTTGGGGGAGGGTGGGTGTCAGTTATGCATGAGTCACGAGGCGAGAAGAGCTTTTAGAGAAGGGTGCAGCGATCTCTCAACTAAGGTCCTGGGGCTAGACTTGGTGCCAGACGACGAGGCGGGGAGATGTGGTCAGGACCTGGAGTGGGCGTCGGATATTCTCTTTGGGGACAAGTCGGACATGGTGACGAGAGACTCAGATGGGGACCGGATGTGGGTGCGGGCGGCCTCAACGGTGTTGCTGGGGTGCATGCTCCATCCAGGATTGAGTGCCCTGCAGCAAGGGGTGGATAACTTCAGACAGAGGAAGGCGGATGCTGGCAAGTTTGGTCGAGAAGGAGGACGAGTTCACTGGACGCTAGAGAGGGCGAGCGCGGTGGGGAGCGAGGAACACAGAGAAGGAGAGGAGTCATCCGGGGAGGAGGGTGGTGGCGATGCATCGACGACGGAAGAAGGGACGGAGGCGGCAGGGATGGTGCGATCGGATGAGGACAGAGAGGAGGGAGGAGAGAGGAAAGGAGAGGAAGTTGAGCACTTTGACTCTGCGCCATGGATGAGTGAGCAGCGTGAGGAGGCAGGTGGGAGCAACCGGAGGATGATGGAGACGATTGTGGTGGAGGCGCTGAGAAATCTATGGGGAAATATCAACGAGGAACTGCTGGTGTACGAGGAGAAGCTGGAGGAGGTCGCGCAACAGGGGGAGGAGAAGCGGCGTAGGGAGACAGGAAGTCATCGTGTACGTGCGAACGAAGATGATTTGTACCGTCGGGGACAAGGGGCTCGCTTGGTGGAAGGGGCCGTGCGGGAGATGGTGCCGAGAGGGGAGGAGGCGCGGATGGAGACGTCAGCTAAGAGGGCGAGGGCAAAGGTGCAGGAAAAGAAGACGCGATCGGTGCGGAGCGCTGAGACGTTACTTCAGATGGGGCCGTTTGGGTGGCGATGTTTTGTGGGCGGACAGAGGGTGGATGCAATTCGGGATGCGGAAGTGCAAAAGCACATGGTGAGCGGGTTAGACGGACGCCATATGAGTGGAGAGGGGCATGGAAGGGTGGAAAAATGGTTGCGTCGGAGCGAGGAACAGGAGGAGAAGGCGATTCAGTGGTCGTTGGAGGAGAGCAATCGGCGGGTGAGAGAGGAGAGGAGGCAAGCTGAGGCGGATCAGAGCGAAGAGATTCAGATTTCGGAATCAGACTCGAGCGGATGTGATGAGGAGGTGGAGATGTGGAGGCGGGTTGGGCATAGGACAGGCAGAAAGAAGGCTAAGGTGGACAGAGGAGCGAGAATTTCAGATTCAGAGTGGGGTCAAGGCAGTCATTCAGTCAATCAGTACTTGAGTCAGTCGGTCAATCAGTCGGTCAGTGGCGAGCAGAGAGAGGAAGTTCAGATGGAAGTGGAGAGGGGGGGTGATAGCGAGGCAGCGGGGAGCAGTGGGCGGAGTGGGATCGATGGAACGGAGTCGAGAGGCGACATGGTGGGAGGAGGGAGCTATGCTGAGGAGGACGACGAGCTTATGCTAGAGTACATGGGGAACGAGGGCGTGGGCGACGAGGAGATCGACAGGTTCATGGGGTGGACGACAGTGGATATGGGAGACGAAAGGCTGGGCAGGGCAAGGGACAGCGTCAGGTCGAATGCGAGCGCGGAACATAAGGGGCGAGGCATGGTTGCGAGGGGAAGGGAGCGACGTGACAAATATGCTGCGGTGAGAGATCAACGAAATGAGCTGAAGCATTCAGGTGGAGGTGGAGGATCGGGGCTGGATCAGTGATGGGGAGGAAGGTAGGTGGAGTACGAGGTCGAGAGGGATCGTGGTCGAGTACGAGGACTGGGGGGGAAGGGGGTTCAACTTGGTGACGGAGGACTGTGGGCCATCGCGGGAACGGGTCCGTCCGGAGGGCGAACCCGGCTGATCCGGATGGTCTCCACACCGGTGGGTGGCACCGAGGCGTCGTGGGGACGCTCTTCTGTTCAGTCGACGCTCGTCGTCCACTGAGAACTCAGTGGTTGTCACCACTTTGTATTCTTTAATATTAACCTTGCGAACTCGTCCCCCCCGGCAGGGCTATGCAACTGTGACCAGTGTGTGCTGTCTACGCCTGAACCAGGTGTCAAATCTGCCGATGCGTGACCTGTGCGTGGGCTGCTCTGTGAGGGGTCCAGGCGTAGTCCGACGGGTAGGGGGTCTGTGCCCGGGCGGTGTCCGGTGCGGAGTCTCTCTCTGATCCTGCCTGGGATGTTGGGTGCGAGGTGTGGCGGCTTCGATCCCAAGGGGGGGAGCTGATCCCACTCGGTAACCAGCTCTCAGGGGCAGTAGGTGGGCGAGCTTCAAGCGCGCTCATCTCGATCGTCAAGGCGTCGCTACGCGCGGTCTTCCGCGGGGGGAGCTTCGTCGACGGGTGCGGGACCGCGGCGCAGACAGTGCTGCGGCGATGCCTCCGGCTGCTGCGGAGAGTGGCTTGCTGCTCGCTGCGATGGCGAAGAACTCGTCTCGTCACACGCCAAGGGCTTATGCTCTGTCGAGACGTGAGGCGTATGCGCCCAGGAGGGGAGGGCGCATGCGTAACGACGCTGCTAGAGATGCCTTTCGGGGCCCAGAGATAAAACTTCTGATGCCATGCGTGACCTAGTAGTGTCCCCAGCTATGGGCGTGTCCACGTTGGAGCCAGGTGTGGTGTGGACGCGAGAATAGCTCCGCCGTTCATGGAGGCAACCGATGCGAGTCGACTGGTGTGTGTCGTCGTGGTTTCGTATCAAGAATTCTCTCTCTCTCTCTACCGGTAGACTGCAGTCGTAGGTTCATCACGGTCTACCGGTAGACTGCGGTAGACTCGCGGTAGACTCGTCTACCAAATGGTCTACCGTCTACCCCAGTCTACCCCAGTCTACCGGTAGACGGTAGACGGGCCACCCCTCAGGGCCATACCTTCTGCCCGAGCCTCGGCCTCGGCGCCAGCGTCGCCATCGAGGACGCATGCGCCGCGGGGCTCATCCTCCGCGAGGGCGCGAAGCAGGGGATGGGGGTGGAGGCGATGGCGGGGCAAGTCGCGCGGCTGAGGCTGCCGAGCGAGGGCGGCGGAGGTGGCCAGGCTGAGCCGCCTGCATGCGGTGCACCTGGGTGAGGCGCTGCGGGCCGAGGTGGCCGATTGGACGGGGGCTGCTGGCGGCACGCAGCCGATGGGGCGGCGCAGCGCACTTGGAGCCGGTCAGAGTTTTTTTTTCTTGATGCGACGTGTATGGCGCAGCCGCCTCCGTCGACGAAGCGCGGCGGCGACGTCGCTGCAAGCATTCGGAAGGCCGCCAAGGATGGCCAAGTGGGAGCGGTGCTGGCGTGGGCCGACGGCGGCGGGCGGGTGGACGAGACGTTCGAGTACACCTTTGAGGACGGCTCTCACGTGAGCGGCATGACACTGCTGATGATCGCAATGTCCAATGGCCACGCGGAGCTGGCCGAGGCGCTTCTGCGGCGCGGTGCAGATGTCTCGTTGCAGACCAGCGGCGGTGGCACCGCGCTGTGCCTCGCCGCCGCCAACGGCCGCGAGAACCTGGTCGAGCTGGCACTGCGGCACGGCGCGGAGGTCAATCAGAAGTACAGCAACGGCAGCACTGCGCTGATGGAGGCCGCCTGCGTAGGCCACGAGCGGGTGGTCGACACGCTGATCCGGCACGGCGCGGAGATCAACCTGCAGGCCAACAAGGGCGACACCGCGCTGATGTTCGCCACCTTCCACACCCATCCCGCCATCGTGCTCCGCTTGCTGCGGGCGGGCGCAGACATGACGCTGCGCTCGAGCGGCATGACGGCGCTGCAGATCGCCAAGGAGAATGGCCAGACCGAGTGCGTCGAGGCTTTCAGGACGTATCTCGGGGAGGTGGCGGGCCGGCGCGAGGCGCCGTCGGCCGAGGCGGACGGCGCAGGGGCGGGAGACGCGCCCGCAGGCGAGGCGGCGGCGGGCGCCAGTGCCGCGGCCTCTGCTTTGAGCGGCGAGGGCGGCGCAGAGACCGCGCCGGGCAGCGAGGCGGTGCCAGAGGAGGTCGTGCTAGCGGCTGGGCGAGGCGAAGAGGCGGCGGTGCTGGCGTGGCTCGACGGCGGCGGGTGGGTCGACGCGACGTTCGAGTACGTCTTTGCGGACGGCCCTGCGAGCGGCATGACGCTGCTGATGTTCGCAATGACCTGTGGCTACGCGGAGCTGGCCGAGGCGCTTCTGCGGCGCGGTGCAGATGTCTCGTTGCAGAACAGCGACGGCACCACCGCGCTGAGTTCGGCCGCCGTGAACGGCCACGAGAAGCTGGTCGAGCTGGCATTGCGGCACGGCGCGGAGGTCAACCAGAAGTACAGCAACGGCGTCACTGCGCTGATGGACGCCGCCTACGGAGGCGGCTTGCGGGTTGTAGACACGCTGATCCGGCACGGCGCGGAGATCGACATGCAGGCAAACAACGGTGACAACGCCCTGATTTACGCCGCTCACTACGGCCACCCCGCCGTCGTGCGTCAGCTGCTGCGGGCGGGCGCAGACATGACGCTGCGCACTGCGGAGGGCAAGACTGCGCTGCAATGGGCCAAGGAGGAGGGCCAAACCGAGTGCGTGCGCGCCCTCGAGGAGCGTGCGGCGGCCAAGGCGGCGGCCGAGAAGGCGGCGAAGGAAGCGGCGTGGGCTGCGGGGGCGGCGGGGAGGGCGGCGCAGAGGGCGGCGGAAGAGAAGGAGGCGGCGCGGCACGCCGACGAGCTGCTGGCGGAAGTCGAGGCTGAGAAGCGCGCCAAGGGCAAGAAGGGCAAGAAGAAGAAGAAGGGCGGAGGGGCGGGCGCTAGGCCGTCGCAGGAGACGGAGGAGGGTGCCGAGGCGCCGTCGGAGGCAGCCGCAGACGAGGCCGCAAAGAAGGCCGAGGAGGAGAGAATTATCAGGCTTCTCGAGCAGTGTCACGAGGAGCGGATCCGGCTCGGCATCACGGCGGAGAGCCAGGCAGCGGCGTCGGCGGAGGTGGCCAAGGCGGTGCGATTGGACGCTGAGGCGGACGAGGCGGAGGAGGAGGCGGAGGCGGACGAGGAGGCACTGGCGGCTGCCGAGGAGGCGCTGGCGGCTGCCGAGGAGGCGCTGGCGGCTGCCGAGGGGGCGCTGGATGAGGCGAGGGCCGCAAGAGACGCGAGGCGTGCTGCTGCTGCCGCTTCGATGGCCAGGGCGGTTGCAGCCAGGGTGGCGGCGGATGCGGCCCAGGAGCGCTCATAGAGAGCTGCTCCTGCTGAGAGGCCACGGCAGCTGTAAATCAAATCTCTTGTGCATGGGCTAGCGGCTACTCTGCCTCAGGCTCAGCGCGGCGCGGGGCCCAACGCGTTTTTTCTGGTGTTCTGGCTGACCCCAGGTTCTCGGACTTTTTGCGGAGTGCTATATGGCACATAGTCTGAGGTAGTCTATAGAGAATAGACGAGTACGCTTCGGCTTGATAGAGAGAGACCCTTGACGCAATGACGTATGACGAGAATGACGGCTCAACCGAACAAACGCGAGTGACGACCCAGGTGGCTGCCAGGAGTGCGTAAATAGTCGGAACTTAGGAAGCTCTCCTTACGAGAGAGGAACCCTACACTGCCTGCTGAGTGTCTCGCATAACCAGTCTCCAGTGACCAGTGAGCAGTGCCCCCCACGCGCCCGCCGCCAGCTGCAGACTCTCTCGTTCACGTTTCATCCACGTTCTGCCCCAGCCCGACCAGGATATGTAGCTCTTACTAGCGCTTGGCCAGCTAGCCCCCCCACCCTATCCGGAACACTTGGCCTCTCCCGAGCCGGCCGTACTCCTATCGTGGCTACGCGCCCCTCGCCCCCCTCTCACCCCCGCGACCACGCCTCGATCTTCTTGGGCAGTAGCTGGTTCGACAGGTCCACTCCGTGGCCTAGGCAGCCGTATACGCCCTCGCCCCAGGTAAAGACAGCGCCGTCGGGGGTTAGGGCGAGGCTGTGATGCTGCCCTGCTGACACGGCGACGACGCGCTGGCCAGCAAAGGCCTCGATCTTCTTGGGCAGAAGCTGGCTCTGCTCGTCGCCGTGGCCCAGCCGGCCTTGCCCTCCAAAGCCCCAGCTCCAGACGCTGCCGTCGACGGTGATGGCGAGACTGTGCACGGCTTTAGCCGACACAGCGACGACGCTCTGTCCAGCAAAGGCCTCAATCTTCTTCGGCAGCAGCTGGTCCTGCCCGTCGCCGTGGCCTAGCTGGCCGCCGCCTCCCTCGCCCCAGCTCCAGACAGCGCCGTCGGCGGTGAGGGCGAAGCTCTGGATGCCTCCAGCCGACACAGCGACGACGCGCTGGCCAGCCATCGCCTCGACCTTCTTGGGCAGCAGCTGGTGCTGCTGGTCGCCATGGCCCAGCTTGCCAAAGCCTCCATAGCCCCAGCTCCAGACTGCGCCGTCGGCAGTGATGGCGAGGCTGTGGCTAAAGTTAGCCGAGACAGCGACGACGCGCTTGCCAGCAAAAGCCTCGACCTTCTTGGGCAGCAGCTGGTTCTGCCAGTCGCCGTGGCCCAACCGGCCTTGGCCTCCATCGCCCCAGCTCCACACGGCGCCATCGGAAGTGAGGGCGAGGCTGTGGTAGCCTCCAGCCGACACAGCAATGACGCGCTGGCCAGCAAAGGCCTCGACCTTCTTGGGCTGCCACTGAGCCTCCCTATCGCCGTGTCTCAGCTTACCGCAGCCCCAGGACCAAACGGCGCCGTTCGCGGTGAGAGCGAGGCTGAAGTATCGTGACGCCGCCACACCAATCGCGCGCTCGCTTCCGAGGAGCGATGGGAGACGGGTCGGCGTCTTCAGCTGCAGCACGCCCTCGCCGTGGCCAAGAAGTCCTGGAAACTCGTCCTCCTCCCCGTTCTCCTCCTCCTCCTCACCCTCCGCTGCCGCGCCGCACGACGAGAGCCGCCCCTCGCCGTCGATGAAAACGCTGTGCTGACAGCCCGCCGCAAGCCTCGCCTGCGGGTTGGACTCGCGCAGCAAGGCGTACAAGCACAGCCACCGGACGGCGCAGCTCTCGCCCTCTGGCTGCGCCGGCGGCTCGTAGCCGGCCTCCTGCAGGCGCAAGCGGATGCCTTGCTCTGTGAGCGATCCGTGGAAGAGCAGCGAGACGGCCGCGACGCGAGCGATGTCGGCGGGATCGCAGCGAGAGAAGGCGCGCACGAGGAGGTCCGTGGGGAGGTCGAGGAGGAGGGTGGGTGTCGGCGTGGAGGGCGAGGCGGTGGCGGCGGCGGCGAGGCGGCGCGAGCGGCGCGAGCGGCGGGGCGGGGTCGACAATGTGTATAATTTTGGAAAAAGAAATCATGGGTGGCAGGAGACCTTCCCTTTTCTTTTCTCTCCGGCGCCTTTTCTTTGGGCCGCCACGGGCTTTGAGATGAGGGGAGTAGAACAAGCCAGGAAAAATCAAAGAAGTTCCCTTTATAATGCTTTTTTTGGAGAGAGAGAGAGTGAGAGAGAAAGAGAGAGGTCGGAGCGAGTGTCGCCGAAAACAGCAAAAATGTCCTGTGACGGGATCGAACCGTCGACTCCCAGCGTGTAAAGCTGGTGATCTAACCACTAATCCAACAGGACTCGATCTGGCAGCCACTCGATCGCGAGAGTCACGCCTAGGCCACTCTGCCAAAAGTGACAGGTGGCAAAACATCTCGAAATCTTCGCGTCCTGGCGACCTATATTGGGAGATATGGGAGGAGAGGAGGGGAAGGTGTGGGGAGGTGTGGGGAGGTGTGGGGAGGTGTGGGGAGATGTGGGGAGATGTGGGGGAGGTATAGGGAGATGTGGGGAGGTGTGGGGAGGTGTGGGGAGGTGTGGGGAGATGTGGGGAGGTGTGAAGAGATACGAGGTTCTTGATGTAGTCAAGGAGTTCTTCGACTTTGGAGGACAGAAAGGTACCGTCTGAAAGGTATTTTCGTGCTCTATTTAGCGCATTTGGTCTCAAAGAGCCTCCGTTCACAGTGGGCGTGATTCCCACCAAGCATGAGTGAAGCATCGGGCAGCATACACCACACACATACATGCCAAGCGCCCCTTCCACCATCGCCGCCGCCGCCGTCGCCGCCTCCGCCGCTGCCGCCGCCGCTGCCATCGTACTTGCCCACCACATCCGCCGCCGCCGCCGTGCCTGCGAGGCCGAGGTGGCCCTCGACGCGCTCTGGCGTTCGCCGGCAGCCGCCGTGGTTCAGCAGCTCGAGTGCGGCCAAGTCACGCCGGCGAAACTCATCGACGTCGCCGTGCGACGGATCGCCGCCACCAACGCTGCCACCAACGCGGTCGTCACGCTCTGCGAGGAGCGGGCACGCGCGCGTGCGGCAAGCTTTGCACAGAGCGGCGGCGCGCCGGGCCCGCTCTTCGGCCTGCCCGTCCTCGTCAAGGACAACCAGGCCGTCGCAGGCGTCCGCTGCACCGCCGGCGCGCCGATGCACGCGACGCGGATCGCGGCCACCACTCACCCTCTCGTCGAGGCTCGCGGCGGCGGGAGACCGACCCCACCACGGCGAGCCGTCCTCTGCACCTCCTAGGAGCCTGTCCGCAGGCGCTCGAGGCGGCGGGCGGGGTCGTCCTCGGCGTCACAAACATGCCGGAGCACGCGGCCGGCTCGCACACCTTCAACCCCGTCTTTGGCGCCACACACAACCCGCACGACCTCGGCCGGACGGCCGGAGGATCGACGGGCGGCAGCGCGGCGGCGCTCGCGTCGGGCGCGGCATGGCTGGCAACCGGAAGCGACCTGGGCGGCTCGCTGCGCAACCCCGCCGCCTTCTGCAGCGTCGTCGGCCTGCGCCCGTCGCCAGGCCGCTGCCCGCAGTCCGATGCGGCGCCGACAGCGTGGCGCGGCCGGTGCCCAACCACCACCCTCCCTGCTGCCTCCTTTTCCTCTCCACGCCTGCTCCACGCCTGCTCTTCGCCGTGTGCACCTCGCACGCCCCGCGTACCTTGGCCGCAGCATGCTCCTTCTGTGAGACGCGTCTCTGCACCTGCAGGTGGGGCCTCGGGCTGCACGCCGTCCACGGGCCAATGGGGCGCACCGTCGAGGCCGCGCCGCGGCTCCGAGATTCCCCGAGATTCCTCGAGATTGCCCGAGACGCCCCGAGACGCGCTGCGGCTCTGAGCAGCTCGCTGTGAGCCGCGCGCCTCTTCACACCTGCGGCCGCTTGCGAGCAGGACGTCGCGCTGCTACTCGACGCTCTCGCCCCTCGCGCATCCCCCCTTGCCGACGCCGACGCCGACGCCGCCGCCGCCGCCGCCGACGCCGCCGACGCCGCCGACGCCGCCGGGCTCGGCCGTCCCTCCGCGGGGTGAAGGGGTTTGGGGCCGCCTCTTCCGACCCGTCTCGGAGCTTGTCACGCAGGTTCGTGCCGCCCGCGGCGGGCTGGGAGCCGCTGGCCTGCCCGCCGCTGCCTCAGCCGCCTCGGCGCGGCTACCTGCACCACGTGCGGCATTGTGGGCCCGATGCCGCGCCTCGCTCGGTCGCCGTGCCGCGCCTGAAGAAGGGCGGGCGTGCCCCCGCGGCACGGCGTCTCTTCCACACCCCCGGCTGTGAGTCTACAGGTCGCCTACTCGGTCGACCTCGGAGGCCTGCTGCGCGGGGTACACCCGGCGGTCGCCGCCGCCGTCCGCCGCTCCGCCGCCCTCCTCGGCCGGGCTCGGCCCGAGCGGCGGTCGGCGGCGGAGACGCGGCTGACCGAAGCCTTCCCCGAGGGCCTCGAGGCGGCGGCGGACGTCTTCCGAACGCTCCGCGCGTCGCGCCAGCAGGTCGACCTCGGGACAGCGGGACACCACACCGCCTCCCTTCTCCCGTCCACGCCCTCATCTCTGTACCCTGCCGAAAGGCATTAAAGCCGACAGATGCGTGACAACTTAAAGCGATCCTCCCTGCGACAGACCTTGTG